GAGAACAATTATGCAAATTATAAGAACAATACTTTTTTTCCATCAGGAGTCCCAGAAACCAAATCAACAACCTCATTGGGATATAAGCGATAGGATCAAATAAGATGTTAATTTGGGTTTTCATTTATGTGATTGACATTAGGAATGTCTACAAAACATTTTGTCATGATAATAGCATAGATTCCAAGGAAAACAGAAAAAACTACAGCAATGAACAAGAAAACAGACGCTTAGTAGAGGTTGTAAAAGTAAATATGCACTGTCCAGTAAGACATTACTAGTAGCATCATCTGTTACACAACACTCCAGCAGCAGCTGATGTACAATGTACCACATGATGGTAACCAGGACAGGGTTGATAAGTGAAGCGGCATGTCGGAGCGAGAGGCTAACTGTAGCACTCCGAGGTATTTCCCATAGCCCACTCAGGGCATAAGGCATAACCACAGGTCAGAGTTCAGACGGTTCACGGAGGAAGAAGCCACTGGAGCAGTGGTGCCGAACCTACGGCACACGGGCTGCAGCAGGCTGTTTGCATCACTGAACGCTCTAAAAGGTTCACCATACTGCACTAAAGCATCTCTCCTGAACTGTTCCCTCCCCTGGACTTCATGTTGGTAGTATACAAAAATAGCAGTGCTCTTTCTATGGGAGACCAGAAGGGAAGAGTGAGGCCTAATGGGCTTACTCAGTGAGCACTGAGAAGAGAGAGGGCGTGCGAGCGTGCAGACACACTGCAGGCAACAGTAAGAACACCTGAGATGAAGTTGCTGCCCGGAGACATACCACGGAAGGGGGAGACGGATGAATCCTGTGAAGCCCTAACTGCTGTGCCCATGTCTGAGTGAATAAAGCTAAGGTGCACTAGTCATTTGGGGCTCTATGTTAAAGGGAGACATGAGCCCCCTACCCCGTTTCTAACGTGTTTCTGGATCTCTTTATTTTACATCTTCATTGCCCCTTGGTCAGGTTCAAGCTCATAGGCTGGTTCCTACACTCTCCATATCAACTCTGGCAGTAGAGCATCTAGATGTATGGCTAGGCCAGAGCCCAGGAACTCCTAAGGGGGAGGCCTATCAGCCATATGGTTTGCATTGATTAGCTCTTCTCCAGTGACTTCAATCCAATAGTACAAGGTAAGTTTACCTGATAGAGTCTATATCTATTGCTGTAACAAGCCACCTTTTCTCTTCTCCAATCCTTCTAAGGGATACATGGCAGATGACAGTGTTATGTTTGGGCCCAATCCTAGACATCATGTCTTATGAAATGAGTGTCAATGTGGTATGAGTACCTATGTATCACACTAAGTTTCAAGATCTTTGATAGTGGCAGTATATTCAGCTCTTTAAGAAAGGCTTCTGTAAGGCCAGTAGATCATTGATTGTTTGACATACCTTTGTGTCACCCACAGTATACACTGTACAGTTGTCAGTATAACAACCAGCAGCCACGACTCATAGTTACTACCACCAGCTAAACCACCAACAATCTTGCCCATTGGCTGTTCTGATTTTCTGTTTCAAACCAGATAGCATTTCTGGCAGGTTGTACTGCAGCAGCAGTCCAGGCACTTGGGTTCCCCCTGCTGGTCTCACCTATACACCAAGCATTTTTAGATATGGGAGAAACCTCATGCACTCTGAGATGAGGCCTGGTGTGGCTACCGGGTTAGCAAAGCAGCTTCATAGTTAACCCAGCCCAACATTGTCTTTGAATTGCAAGTTAATAAGCTATGAAGAGGATGCTGCACTATTGTAAATATGCAAGCAACTTATTTGGAGCAGAGGTCTGTACTATGGTGCACTGAGGTTGATGTAGAAGTACAATCACCCTCTTTACAGATAGGCTAGTTCACACCATAACCAATAAAGTCAGTGGCTCCACCTGTAGCAGGACTATGTGCTCTCCTACAATCTGCTGCTCTGGAGGGATTTATCTAGTTTCAATTCCCTTCCAAAATTCTGACCAAAATCCTAGACTTGGACTTTGGTGTTCTTGGCACAGAGCCCAACTCATACCATCTGCTATGCTCTTGACATCTAATTGCATTGGCACACCTCACGGAGGAATCCCTACCACCTTTCCCTGAGCTGTCAAACTCTGCTTTTTCAAATGTGTTCTGATGGGGAATGTGTCAGTCCTGCATGATTGCCCTTTTAATCAGCTAACAGTAGGCACAAGCATTGAGCTAGACATGGAACACAGTGGTGGCCAGTAACTCAGGAGTCCCACAAAAAGCCTATACCTCCTTTTCTGCACTAAGGGAATGGGGAAGGTTTGCATGTTAATGCCTGGAATCAAACAGGTGTTACCCAAGCAGACCACTCTGAGAAACTTCATGGTGGTTCAGGGCCCAGTCCTGGGTATTGATAGCCATCTTCTGGCCCCTAAGGGAGTACAATCTTCACCATTTAATGGAACCAGATGAAGAGTGAGGTCCTGAGCCACCATGCTGTGACAGATAGTAGGACTGTGTAGATACCCCTGAAGCAATACCTGGATATCAGGAACAGGGAAAGGGGATGTTACTAGAACCTGCGCAATAAGTCCTAGTCTCCTGTGAGCCAGGATAGCTCAAGGCAAATTAAGCTGAGGTTTGGGGCTGATCAATGCTGCTCTGGGCAGTAAAGATGAAAGACCCCTAATTGCCACACCTCTATTCAATTCATCAGGAGTAACAAATATAACTGGTGAAAATTTTGTTCCTCCCCAGGACATAGCTGGTGTACTCTAGCTCTGGAGCATCACAGCATCACTGGACCACTGAGCTGTGACTGGAGCCAAAATGGAGTTGTATCTCAACATGTCATAGCTGGCCTGTAGGCAGGAAAACTAGGCCTCATCATAACTTTTGTGAAATGATTTTTTCCCCAAAATTATGTAGAACTGCTCTTGGCACCTGAAATGTCCCGTCTTCCTTCTTAAGTGAAGAAAACTGGTTCTGCAAGTGTTGGTAAGAAAATGGTAGAAAAGGCATTAGCTAAATTCAAGTCAGCATGCAGAGTCAAGGAAGGATGGGATGCTGCCCCTGACTCCTCTGAGTAATGTTAGGCACCACGGCATGAGTAGGAGGTATCATTTTATTTAGCTCCCTATAGCTAAGTCAATTCTCTAAGTTCCATTTGACTTTTTCACCAGCAGGACATGTTATTGCTGGGGAACTGACAGTGGAAAGATGTATCATGAATTTGTGACCCAAATGCTCTAGATTTAAAGCTTTGTGATTTTTCTAGTTTTCATAGAAAATTAGATGCTTCTGATATTTTATTCCCAGGAAGCAATCGACTATTATTCCTAAAGCAGAGGATGTGATCTCCAGATGGACAGTGGAGAGACATTCTTTCTCTCAAACTGTTTCATGGATAATGGTGTCAGGATGAGGAGAGTAACTACCAAGTAATGAGTGGTTTTTTGAGATGCCTAGAACCATTTTAATCCTTTATATTTGCTCATTTCTTCTACATTTTCAACTTGTACCCATAAAGCCATCCTTATGCACAGCCTCAAACCAGAGTGCTTTGACCCACTTTAGTTCTGTCCCCCCAAATAGGCACAGATGTTCCCTCACACTACAAACTGTCCAGGACCTTGCCCTCCTTTTCTTGGGATTATGGATGTTTTAAGTGCAGTGAGTAAATATGGAAAAAGGATGTCGATGCCCAAATATTTGCAGGCCAAGAAAAACCCTCTACTGTATACAGTAATTACTCCTGAGTGATGGTGAGATGCCAGAGGTTGACAAAGTTGAGCTAAGACAGTTAAACCCAGATCCCAAGTGGCCTTCAAGATCACTAACAGTGCCTCTGTGGTTAGGATGAGCATACCTTCTAGTTTGTCTAGTTAATGGCTATTGCCCTTTGTCTTAATGTGACTGGTTTAAATCCAAGGTTTACCACTAAGTAGTAAGTTACTGAAGCTCCCTGCTTCAATTCTCACTTAAAATATACTTTTCCTCTTACCTGTGGCAAATATTAATCAAGTGTATGTGTAAAGCATCTAGATTAGTGCCCAGTAATTCTAAAATGTTATCATTTAACTATCTTACAGTTAAGGACAATTCTGTCTTCATGTGGCTAGCAGTGGCGTTGAGAACAAAACCCAGGTTTCCTAAACCTAAACTCTACCCACCACTACCAGATTACTCTCCTGTTCATAATATACTACCATAAATAACAATAAAGCAATATGCTAAGCTAAAGAATGACATAGGAAGTACTTTATTTTGACACCATAGATGGTTCAGAAACAGCAGTACAATTATTGATCTTTACATAAATGGTTTTGACTGATTTGCAGTTTTAAATTTTAAGTACATACTGATTAGAGTTCTTTCATGTTTTAATAAAAGAACTACTCTACTGAACCAGAACTAAGGTAGTTTATTCATATGCATCTGAAAACAAGTCTCCAAACTTCCCATCTCAGTTCATCTTTTTTTAAGCATTAAAAATGCTTCATTGCATCACCCAAACTGAATTCCTCAGCAGCTTCCACAGCACTGCCAAAGGAATCTCTACAAGGTAGCGATGCCTGTCTTTTCCTGGAAGCACACTGAAATCAGAATTACTATCTTTACGTCTTGAAATAATTTCTTTTTGGCATTACACAAAGAATATATCACTAGGACTTTAAAAACCTAAATTCTGGCTGTGTCACAAGCTATATAAATTTAGGTCATATATGTTCCTCAAGCATCTGTTCTCAACTGCAAAAAATAATTTGCATTTGCTTGGTCCTTTGAATTTATCTTCACAGTAACCCTTACATTTAAGACAGCATTATATTCATTTTTCATAGAAATTCAATCTCAAGGGTATTTGAAAATACTGTTATTCTACCCAACAGTTTAGTTTCTCTTTCCTAACAAGAAAATGTTTCCAGCCAGATGTGGTGGCACACACCTATAATCCCAGCACTTGGGAGGCTGAGGCAGGAGGAACACTGTGAGTTCAAGACCAGCCTGGGCTACATAGTTCCAGGTCAATTTCAACTACATAGTGAGACCCCATTTCAAAAAACCAAAAAAAAAGAAAAAAGAAAAGAAAAAGAAAACATTTCCATCCTAGGAGTCAGGAAAGCTGTTACAAAGAATAAACTAACAATCTAAATTGGAAGGTGAAATTTTGAATGTTAAATGTGGGATTCAAGCCATGTGACTTAGTGTTATCATGTGCCCAAAATACATTATTTCTCATTTATAATAAATTTGTAGATATAATTAGTCATACTGACATATACACAGGAACTAAGCCTAAATCAAATTAAATATTTAAAAAAATACATTTTCTATTAGCAATCCTAAAAAGTCAACAGAACTCAATAAATAGTATGCTCTCAAAGTAAGGAGCATCATACACTTGGTAATTTCTGTAATTTAATATTCTAAAATTGAGAAAAGCAGGCAAGGGGATGAGAAGTACACATAAGAAAAATAATCTTGTGATTTTCTTCATTTTGATTCTATTCCTTTCTTGTTTTCAGGAGGCAAGATCTTGACTTCAAAAGTAACAAAATACTTGAGAAGCGAATTTACATCTTCCAGTTTTAAATAGTATTCTTGTACTATTTTCTCAGCAGTCCATGTTTCTGGATAAAGTTTATGATTATTGAGAAGTGTCAAGGCCTCTACAATGGAAATTTTGCCCTTGGGAATGTTCTTAATATCCATACCAAAGTGATGGCCCTTTGGCAATCTGAATTCCTTTGCCTCTTGCTGTGTTTCAGCATCTTTTACCTAGTATCAAGAGAGAAAAAGAAAAAAAGAAAAAGAAAAAGAAAAAAAGCTTTTAGGATAAGAGAAAAGACTTGGCATCTTTTTTTTTTTTGATAAATTTTTTTTATTCGTACACCTTTGCAGTACATAGTGATTACATTCATCACGGGGGTTGGCACATAGACACAACACATCTTAATTCCTTTTACTTTCTCTTCCTTTCCCCTTCCCTTCATCTCTAGATCCCTTTCCCACTTGCAAAAGATCTTTCTCCCTGATTGCTGTTACACATGCTTTATTTTGTTCTTTAAATTATTTATACTTTGAACTTGTTTTCACATTTCTCATATCAAACCTACGCTTTTTCTTCAAATAAATATTGTACAGACTTATGTAAACTGTATTTTCCCATTATAATGAGCAATAGTTTTGACAGTACCCTTGCCATGTTATCTTTTCATAACTCTAGTTCTGTCATCACTAAGCCATTCAGGTAGCTCTAGAAAAATGATAATTGAATGAATACCATTCATTCACATTATTTCATATTCACATACAGACTGAGTATCCCTAATACACAAGTCTGAAATCCAAAACTTTGAGTGCCAACATGACACTGTAAATGGAAAATTCCACACCTATTTCCTATGACAATCACAGTAAAAAAGCAGGTACACCAAAAATATTGCGCAGAGGGCCGGGAATTTAGCTCAATGATTCCTCCACCTGCCTCGCAAAGGCAAGGTTCAGAGTTCAATCTCCAGTACCAAAATATATATATTACACAGAATTACCTTTAAGGTACAGTAAGTATATAAGCTGTATATGAAACATAATGAATTTTGTGTTTGGAGTTGGGTTCCAGCCCCAAGATTTCTCATATGATATGCAAATACAACTATTCTGAAATCTGAAACATTTCTGGTCCCCAATGTTTTAGACAAGGGATACTTGACCAATACATTCAAAGAATAACAAGAATGTTTAGGCTAAAAGCTACACTTGCTTTAGAAGGGAATTCTGAAGCTGTCTTCAAAAGCCTCCCTGATATGGTCCAGTCCATTCTGTTTTGGAGTTTTGCATTTTATATTCAATGCCCCAAACACCTGAATGAATTCAAGTATTGCTAGAGATCTTGTCTCTTCTGAGAAAATAAACTCATGTCTCCAACACTCTAATATAAATAACTTACACACATTCATCCCTCTATGATTCTGTCCCATCCACCCTTAACCTCCGCATTTGTGCTCTATATTCCATTCCTGTTATGTAGTCATTCCAATCACCTACTTTTTCCGTTTACTTGCACCCTGCCTACTACTGCTTCTTGGAAAACACTACATTTTTAAGACACCCACTGAACCCCAAACTCACTCCCACCTTTTAACCAGTTTTCTTCTTGTTGGTTAAAGTTTAAAGGACAATGCTACTTGCTATTTCTAAAGATTTCCTAATTACTTAATTCAGAGGAACTTTTCGGACCTTATTTGAACTCACTCAGTACCTGTGACATAGCTGACCACATCAATGTAGTACCTGTAACTATCTTCCCCTTGGTTTCCACACTTCGCCTCTCTGTTTTTCATCTGTTCCTCTAGTGGTTCCTTTATTTTCTTTGTGTGATTAACTCAATTAAAAGAACTTAATTCCTCTTCAGTTAATCTACAAATTCTAACTCAATTGCACACAAAATCCAAACAGAGCTTTTCCTTCTGCTGCCCTTAAATTGTAATATGCTGGAAATTCTGGCCAGGTTATCTCCTCTAGACATTGTTCCAAAGTAATCCCATACACTCTCCTACCTTTTATTACTGCCTTCATGCTAGTGACCTCCAAATTTGTGATCTCAAACCAAGATTCTTTTTCCTCACTTCCAGACCCAAATTCCCAAATTCGTAGTGGCCATCTCTGAGTGACCTAAAGAGACCTCAAATTCAGTATGGCTAAAAAGGAATCTACCACTAGTTTTACCCTCTCCCATATCCCATGCCCCAAACTGGAGATTATACTGAAACCTCCTCCCTGACTCATTACATCCAATCTATGCCTAGATCCTGCTGAAATAGGCTCCTAAATCTCCCTGGAATCCATTCACTTATCCCACACCATCACCAAATCACTCTAATCAACTGTAGAAACGACTGCAAACATCTCCTAGCTGGTCTTCTCTAACTGAATAAAAGGTACTTTTCTCCCTCCCTGCTCACTACTAAACCTGACATTATTTTTCAATATGAATTCTTCAATACTTCCTATAGCCTTCAGGATAAAATTCTTTACGAATTATCTTCAATCTATCACTCTCTATCCTATTTGCCCCAAATTCAGCCTTCACACCTTTTCCTAACTATAAGAACTCATACTGTTCTCCAAAAGTACCACTTACTCTCCTACCTTCACATCATAGCATCAGACTCAAACATTCTTCCCAAATCTTTCCAAAACTAAAAGCTCTCATCTTCCTATTCCCTTCTACTTCTACTCCAAACATAACCTTCATTCAGATATGCCTTTTACCTTTTTAGTATTTAATATTTGACACTAACAAAAACATCTAACATAATTCAACATCCTTCTTTAAAAAAAAAGGAATTTAGAAAATAGAATGACAGTTTTAAAAACTGAAAGCCAGTATCATTTTTATTATAATTAATGCTGAACTATTAAGGCATCCTATTAAGAAATGGGTGAAAATGTCCCCTTCCACTGCTATGTTAAAGATACAGATAACATAATTAACAATTTAAGATAAATACAAGAAAGGCAAAGAATATTATAAATCCATACAGTTATACAATATCTTTTGAAAAATAAGAAAATCAACTGAAAAACTAGTGCCTACGAGAAATAATTTAGACAGTAGAAAATCACTCACTTTATCATTAACAATAAATACTTTTAAAATTTAGGATAAAAAAGATTCCATTTATATTAACAATTTTCCCTCTATCACTCAAAGACTCAATTAAGAGATATTAATCCCTCTCCAATTAATTTATTAATTCCAATTCAATTATACACAAAATCCAAATAGAGTTTATTAAAGAAATTGACATTTTGATTCCCAAAGATCATCTGGAAAAAATAAATGTATCCGAAGAATGAAAATCACAATAGACATCAAGATACATTATAAAGCTCTATTAACTAAAATATCATGGTTGTAGTGTATATAGAAAAATATATAGAACTGATGAGTCTGTAACACACACACACACACACACACACACACACACACATCCTGTGCTACACCTATATATATATATATGTGTGTGTGTGTGTGTATATATATGTGTATGTGTGTGTGTGTGCATAAGTGTAGTACAGGAGTGTGTGTGTATATACATAGGTGTATGTATTATATATACTATAGATAGTATAAGTATAATAGCATTTTAAGTCAATGGAAAAGGTCTGGGTTATTTAAAAAATTATGTTCAGACAATTGGCCATTGGTTTGAAAAGATAAACTGATACATACAATAAGCACCATATTGAATGCTAAATATTTTTACATAAAGTACACAAACAAAACCTTACCAAAAGAAAATACTAAAGACTTTTATGATATCACAGTGGTCTCAGTCTTCCTGTGTCATTAAGGACAAATAGCTGGTATATTTAGCAAAAAGCAGCAGTAAGTCAAAAAGTCAGAAAAGAAATCACTTGCCATATGACAAGGACAGTAGCACTCATGTCTAATGACATCAGAAATTATTAAGAAAACTACTAACAGCCCAAAAGAAAAGAGGAGGCAAAGAACTTACACAATTCTGTTTTTCAATCCCAGCACTCGGAAGGCTGAGGCAGGAGGATCGCTGTGAGTTCAAGACCAGCCTGGGCTACATAGTGAGTTCCAGGGCAGTCTCAACTACATAGCGAGACCCTGTCTTAAAAAAAAAGTCTCCTACCTTACCAAATCTTACAAATTCTGAAATAATATCAATAATGCATGTAAGTGTATTCAATCAATACTTCATGAGTCTTTTAGAATTCTGGTAAGTAGCCAACAATCATGGCTGGTGTCTTGCCTGACCACTATGCTTAAACTTTGCCAAGGCAATGAACTTCGGCCACAACGACTCCGACATTTTTACAATTGCAGAGAATTCACTTTTACCACTTGCCACACGTCTCTTAATAATTTTCCTAGAACCCCAAAATAAGTAAATAATTCACTTAATTAAAAAAACACATTACCCGCAGAGATGATACAGGATCTTTGGAATCAACATATACATCTTTTAGTAATGACAGCAGCTTGTCATTTTTCCCACCAATTTCTCTCTTAATTTCCGTAAGGTCTAAGGAGAAAAAAAAGTCACAATATTAAAAAAGGGAAAATTTCCTCTAAGATCCTACACATTTAACATAAGCGGCCACTTTCTTTTAAACAAACTATCGTTTAGACAGCTCCGAAAACCTTTTTGATATAAAACCAAATATGAGGCCAGGCTCAGCGTCCATCCTTCTGGGAAGACCCCTAGAGAAACCTTGGGCTGCACATGAGAGGTGCTGATTCTGATTCCCTGTTCCAAATTTTTCGGGAGCCCTAAGACCAAAAGGGGCCCAAGAGCGGGATGCGGGGCCGCCCTCAGGACTGCGGCGCAGGCGGGGGCGCAGCGCGGCGAGGACGATCTCAATGTCACCGCTGGGCCTCCCTCGTGCGGCGCTGGAAGACCCCTAGAGAAACCTTGGGCTGCACATGAGAGGTGCTGATTCTGATTCCCTGTTCCAAATTTTTCGGGAGCCCTAAGACCAAAAGGGGCCCAAGAGCGGGATGCGGGGCCGCCCTCAGGACTGCGGCGCAGGCGGGGGCGCAGCGCGGCGAGGACGATCTCAATGTCACCGCTGGGCCTCCCTCGTGCGGCGCTCTCACGCCTCCTTCACAGTGCTCACCGCTCATCTGCTCTCGCAGGACGCTCCGCGGGGACGGGTGCCTCGGGGCCGCAGACCGCTTCATCTTGCTGATTTCCCGTTCTGCTCGGTTCTCTAAGTTGAAATTCCTGATCCCCCGAATCACCGCAGCCCCCATATTCTCTATAACATGATGCACTCAGGCTCTACACGCACGTGGGTGACCTCCAGACACACCGGCAGGTCTAGGGTCAGGCCGTGCTCTAGGAAATGGTACCGAAATGTACTCATTGCCCCCTGGCGGCAAGGAGGCCACATGGCGCGTCCCTGCCCATAACTACGGGAGGCACGCTTCCTTCCGGGGCGGAGGACACGCTCTTTGAAGGGCCCGCCTCCCGCGGGAGGGGCGGAGCCAGGGCCTCCGGAGGTCGGCAGTCCTGCGCGCTGCCCAACCGGGAGTCGCCGGAAGGCTCGGGGGCGTGTCGATTTCGGGCCCCGCCCCCTGCTCCTCAGGCGAGCACCTGTTAAGGCGTCCGGGGCGCGGGAGACAGGTTGTTGTGCGGCGTGGGACGTTGACTTGGAAGTCGTCTCCCAGGTCATTGCCAAAGGTCAAAGAAGCTGGTAACGTTCCGCTTTCCTGCTCTTCTGATAGGAAAATTAGGAAACGGTGTTCATTCTCAATGAGTATTTGACCTCAACCACTTTTATTTCTGTGTCCCTTATTCTCCTGACCCATAGACTAACGTATTTCTCGGCCACTATTTTCCCTTTTTCCGTTTTGTTATAGGTTCCGTTTCCAACTCATTTTACCTAATGGTTTTCGTGTTACGCTTTCCTTCCACTTCTCTTCATTTTTATTACCAACTTGATTTACTTCTACATACAATGAAGCACGGAGAGTCCTGTTATTCTTCGCCCTGTTGGTCGTCTTTTCTAATTTGTAAGCCCTAAAGATAGTATAACTTACTGACCGAACGTCAGTACATTTGGAAAAAAGTACATGTTACATGTTCTGTCTTTCTCCCTTATCTCCTATACTCTACTTCTATCCATTTCGGACGGTTTCCTTCATGCTTAAACTCCTTTAGGAATACTTGGATGGATGCATAATAAAAGAAAGCCACCAGGATGGAAGTAGTAGTTTCCCAAGTTGTGGTATTTTTCACAAAATCTACCTTTAGTGTTCTCAGCTCTGCTTAATGAAATAAAAGACATTCTTTTTAACTGGCTTATAGTAAGGAAAAGTAGATATAAAAATGAAATTGAAGAAATTTTTAAAATTGAAGTAAGGACAGCTTTAATAAGAGTAGTTGTACAGTTAAATATAATGCTTAATCATAACAAAAGCTCTACAAGGAATATAGTTCCAACTACTGATTATCATGAAATGTTTTTATAGGGTTTGATATTTGAAATTTAGTGTTCTGTGATGCAGTTAATTTAGAAGTTATCCTGAAGGTGGCAGACTGCTCCAAGTTAACAATCTTCTAGACAAGGCTGTTCATAATTCAGTGCTTTCTTGCTAGTTTCTATTCAGGCCAAGAAAGTTTCATCTGCTTCTTTATGTTTCTTATATATTTTAACAATTATGGTAGCAATTCCACTCTGTGAAAATATTTCAAAAGTAAAAATTTCATTTTCATAGAAATTCCACCAAATTTCTGGCTCCATGAAAAATATGAGAAGTTACAGTAAGTACTGAGGGCAGAGACTACAAAATGAGGAAATTCCTTCAATTCCTATGTTTAGGGGGGAGCTTGGAGTCAACACCCTTTTAGAAGCACCTAAATGTCCCTTGTGAGCCAGTTTCTTTACCTGGTTGTGGCCTGGTCCTCAGAGAGCAAAATAGAAGGCAGATGTATATCACCAATGCAAAATTAGTTTCACCCTTTGATAATCATCACAGAAACAACGCCTGAATCATAAGTGCATGATTCTAGTGCTTGTCGAAACAAGTAAATTAACAGGAAGTGTGTATTTAAGAACCCCTTGGGTTTAGGTGAATGGGTTAAAATACTGAAGGTCCCCCAGGAAATGATAACCAGAATACTGCTCAAAATTGAGCTTTTAGTTAGGCACAGTGGCAAACACCTGTAATCCAGCACTCAGGAGCCTAAAGTAGGAGAATTGCCCTGAGTTCAAGGCTAGCCTGAACTACATAGTGAGACCTTGTCCCAAAAGCAAACAAAACAGCAAATTAAGCTTTTATCTGAGTGAAATGAATATCATAATATATTAATGAAAGGAACCCAGGGTCTTGCCAATACTAGAATACATTTTTTAATACAAATTTTTTGAGAACAGAGATTTTTATCTATTTGGTTTCTAATTGTATCCAGCAAGCATATTGAAAAGTGCTAATACACACCAGGTACTAAATAAATGTCAAGTGAACAGAAAGACAAGTAGGATCCCTGGGCTGACATCCAGGCCTTGCACAGGTTGTCTCTGCCCAAACAAGCTGCTGCCAGAAGTCAATTCTTGTGCAAGTTACTTAATCTGGTTGGACCTACTTTCCTCATTTTAAAATTGGGATGATAGTAATTAAAATTGTAAATATCTAATGTAATCCTAGTTTGGTTTGTTGTTGTTGTTGTTGTTGTTTCTTTTTGTTTTGAGACAAAGTCTCACTATGCAGTTCAGACTGGCCTTAAACTCACTATGTAGCCCAGGTTGGTCTCCAACTCATGGTGATCCTCTTGCCTCAGCCTCAGCTTCAGGAGTGCTGGGATTACAGGCATGTTTCATTATACCCTGCTTAGCTTATATGCCATTTGTGCTGCTTTCCATTTTCCAGACAAGCAGAGAAAGGTTTGAAAAAGAACAAAACTATGCTGAGCCTGGTTCATTGGTGAATGAAAGGAGAAAAATAATTGAATGACTGAAAGTAAAGAAAGACTCATTCTTCAAGCATTTTGTAAAAATACAGATATTCTAAATTCAATTTCTAATTGCTGATTAGCATGCTCTGGCAATACTGGATTCAAAAAGGTTGAAATATGGATGAGAATCACCTTGGGGCATAGTTTTTCTCTCTTCCTAGACTGAGCATTGCACACTCCTTCCTGCCTTCAACAGCACTGTATGTTCTTTGGAGGCTTGCAGATACTAAACCTGGGAGACAGATGACTGAAGGAGCCTACAATAGACTCCAGACGTTCACTGAGCAAAAAACTGCTAGGGGCAGCTCAGCAGGTTTATGAAGGAATGGCATACTGCAGAGGTATTGGTGTCCACAGAGAACCTCTGGGCCAAGACTTCAGCTCAGCAGCCATGGAATTTGTAAGAGTCCATTTCACGCCATTTACAAAGTTCCCAAGCTGGGCCCCTTTCATAGTGATGTTTATGAAACCTAGAAGGGGTGGGTGGGACAAATGTGGTCTTGTACAAATCCAGTACTCAAATTGAGAAACAGTAGATCTCATAAAATTATCAATCAGCATTTTGCAGACATATGCTTTATAGTTACTGCAGTCATGACTGTTATCATTGTATTAGTTTCACATTGCTGCTAACAGAATTAAAACAAAACAATTTGTTATCTCCTCTTCTATAGGTCAGAGGCCTAACACAGGTATAAAGAGGATAAAATCAAGGTGTCAGCAGACTTGTCTTCCTCCCAGAAGCTCTAGGGAAGAATCCCTTTCCTTGTTTTTCTGTTTCTACAGGCTTCCTGCACACCTTGGTAGCCAGCAGTTATATCACTTTTTTGTCTCATATCCTTCTCTATGATTCTCTTGTCTTCCCCTTCCATTTTAATACTCTTCTGATTATGTTTTACCTTGTACCTAATCCAAGATAATATCTTCATCTCAGTATCCTTTGTCACATGTGCAAAGTACCCTTTGCCATGCAAGGGAACATGCACAGGTTAGGGGACTAAGAGATGAACATGACCGGGAAACCTCTGTTCTGCCAGTCATCTCTTAAGAATATCCACATCTATCAGTACCCATGACTAAATTACTAAGTACAACGATAGCATAGTGGAGAGAATGCCTAGTATGCTTCATTCAGCCCCATATAGCTTATATTACAGTGAAACTATGTAATCATTAAAAAATGAAACTGACTTACTTTCCTACCACTTTGTTGGTGCTATATACTGCACATAGATCCAATTCTTAGGGCCCAAACCTCTCACTTCCTCTGGAGAATGTGCATCTGTCAATTAGCAAGCATATGAAACTCCCTGCATATAAAACAGCATTAATAATTATGGCATCTTGGAGACTCCAGCAGTCTATCACTCTTCTTTCTACCTTATTTCCCTGCTAGTTTCCCCACCTTTCCTTTTTCTTTGCATTAGTTTTTCTCCTCCTCTCCTTGTATCCACTTGTAGAATGTGCATGCTCCTGGAGAAGGGAAGCCATTTGTGAGAGAGTTTATTAGTTCTCTGAACTAGAAGAAGACAGTTATATAAAAAAGGGGAGGAAGGAAAAAGTAGAGGCAACAGCTACTGGAAAAAATGGGAGCTGAGAAAGGAAAGGAACAAGACAGCTGAGTTGGGGCAGAAAAGGCTTCCACACCCTATCACATAGTTAAAACTCTACATCCAGCTCCTTTTCTTGAAGCTTCTTTCACCATTTGGATTGTACAGACTATTTAAAAGTGCTTTGAACTAAATATTTATCAAGGCAGGCATGGTGGTGCATGCCTGTAATCCCAGCACTCGGGAAGATAAGGCAGGAGGATCACTGTGAATTTGAGACCAGCCTGGGCTACCTAGTGAGTTCCAGGGCAGTCTGAATTACATAGGGATACCCTGTCTCAACGCCCCCACACACACAAAAAAAACTTTTAAAAAATATTTATCAAAACCACTACCAGAAAATACATGTGTTTGTGTATGTGCAATACATGTATTTGTTAGAAAAACAGAAAAATGGAAGGTATATAAATTTGAACTAAACATTCAAGTCAAAACACAAGAAAAAGTACAGAAACACAACTCCAAAAACTTTTAAGGACTGAATATAAAGCAGAAGTTAATTATGTAGAAAACAATGCCAGTTGATTGAGACTATAAAATTTGAGTCAACTTTAAGGAACAAGTAAGACTGGGTACTTTTTAGAAAAGAATACAATAAAAAATATAGTGAAATATTTTAAAGTTGAGAGAAAATAATATATGCAACTTTCTATGCAACTAAAATGTATAATATCTTCTTGTATGACTTGCTTTTATCTAATAGAATCTGGTAAATATGAATAAAATAAAGTAGAACAATAGAATAGAGCAGAGATATAGAGCAAGATTGACTAGACTAGAACGTGACCGCTCTTGTGTTTCCTTATGTTATGTAAAATTGCACCTTAGAAGATAGGAAGGAGAGATTCTCCTGCTGGCCTGAAAGAAGC